GTGTGTTTTTATTTTTGTAGGGCTGAATTGAGCAGAGTTGCTTCCACTCACTATATGTGGAAAGGGATTGTGCTTCCTGTACTGTAGGTGGCGGTATGCACCAAAGACCTCTATTCCGTCAATGAACCAAAATGAAGAAGCAGAAGCAGACGACGAGCATTTACAGACACGAATAGGCGTGCAAGCAACTTGGATTGGGTTCACCCGTGGCCACAATGTGAAGCTGGATTTTGATTCAGGCAAGCTATTTTAAACTTCTTGCCATTTTTGGAGTTGAAACCACTGCAGGCAACCACCAGCGTGCTCCCGCTGCACTTAACAGTTAAATAGATTGCCAAATAAGAGCATTTGATGGAGGGGGAATAGGGAATAACTCGTCATGTCCTGCTCCCAATGACTGTACTTTTACAATTCAATAGATTGTCAAATAAGTGTAACGGATGTGAGTTATGTGTGTGATTGGGCAGACACGGTATAATGTTGATACACTTACACAGGGTGTCCCATCAGTCTCCATACATCAGAGAAATAATACATTGCATACATTTATGGTTGTTACATTTATTTCTTTATATTTCAGATAAGCCAGAGAATGCATTTGTATAAAGAGCAACAAAGTGAAATCAAGCTGATGATGTTCAGCAAACAGTTGTGTGGTTTATGTCAAGTAACGTTTATTATTTCTATGTATGGAGACTTCTGGGACACCCTGTAGAATCGAATCTACAGGGTGTCAAACTCATTTTTGTCGCAGGCCACATTGTAGTTACTGTTTCCCTTGGAGGGCTGTTATGACTGTGAATTTTGTAAAACCATATAAATGTTTCACCACCTCCAGGTATTACATACACAGCGAACAACAAATTGATGGATAACTTGTTTTGAAATCAGAAGTCAAGAGTAATAGCTTGTTCAAGTATTGTTGTTATGGATTAGATATGACAATTTGAAATTTTGGTTCAGACTTTCGCAAGCATCATGGAAGTTGACATGCTTGATTTGCTTTCGCGGGCCACATAAAATGATGTGGGGGGGGCCAGACCTGGGCCCTCGGGCCTTGACTTTGACCCCTGTGCTGTAGATAGTGCACTCCATTTCTCATTTTAATCACATTGGATTTTTTCATTGGTTGGACTTTGATGTATTTTTTGGGAGGAGGTGTGGGGGGAGGGGGGTTGGATTGACTGACGGACTCACCAACTGATGAAATTTACAAATGGAGGCGATGACGGAAGCGCTGTTAAAATATCATGACCGACTGACAATTACAGTTTGATTCGGCTTGAAAAAATATGATGGACTGACAATGATGGACGGGTACCCAGGCCGCTCCAGGACGATGAATGATGGACGGGCAACATTTAATAAAATTCCCCCCTCTGGTGGATATGTAATTTTAATGAAACTGAATAAACCATCGATATAGAGATAACTGTCTTAGCAGCAGCTGCTGTACGCGTTCGGCCAATGTCTCAAAGGCCAATGTAGCGTTCGCGGGGAGAGCCAGCATAGTCAAGCCTGCCACCACAAAGGTTGTTGCTATGCTTCTATGCAGCACGCTGAATGGGTCAACTTCAAAATAAAATCGACAGACGTAATACTCTACACATGGATAGCAATGCCTTACCTAGTTTTAATTTTGAAGTTATCCCTTGGTAGCAGTCGTTGTGGGAACTGACTTGACTTCAAATTGAAGCTCGCCTGACCTATACTTGCGTAAAAAATCAATGACAGACTTGAACTGGAGCTCAATATTCAATTTCCACTGCTCATGCACTTGGTCTGATTATTTTGCAATATTTATGTCACAATAACAATATTACACAGTTATCCACGTTGTTAGCATATTGTTGGATGAAAACAGAAGAAAAAGAAATGGATTTCTTTGGTGGATTAGTTATGTACACATACACACTTTCACACATACGTACAGTACATACATATTTGTGTAGCCCTCAGATTGAAACTTCCATTTGTAGTTTTTGCTGCTTATCTGCTTAACCAAATATACACTAAAGCATTTTGCTAAAAGTGTTCGCTCACCTGCCTCGACTTACTTATGAATTTCAGTGACATCACGTTCCTAATCTTTAGGGTTCAATAAGACGTCGGTCCACCCTTTACAGCTATCACAGCTTCATCAACTCTTCGAGAAAGGCTGTCCACAAGGTTTAGGTGTGCTAAAGGGAATTTTTGATCAATCTTCCTGAACCCCATTTGTGAGGTCGCAGTTTCCACTCTCATACACCTCATAGGTGTTCTATCGGGTTGAGGTCAGGTCTCTGTGCAGGCCACTCAAGTTTATCCACACTAGACATCCATGCCTTTATGGTCCTTGCATTGTGCATTGGTGGGTTGGAAGAGGAAGGGACCAGCTCTAAACTGTTCTCTCAAAGTTGAGAGCATGAAATCATAGAGAATCTCTTGGTATGTTGAAGCATTCAGAGTTTCTTTCACTGGAACGAAGGGGCCACGTCCAGCTGCTGGAAAAACAACCCCACACCATAATCCCCCCTCCACCAAACTTTACACTTGGCACATTGCAGTCCCTCAGTCCTGTCCTCCTGGCAACTGCCAAACCCAGACTCGTCCATTAGACTGCCAGATGGAGAAGTGCGATTTGTCACTCCAGACAACGTGGATCCACTGCTCCTGACACCAGTGAGAGCCCCACACACACGCACATGATTCCCCCGACGAAGTATATGAGGTGCACGTTGATCGGCTGATCAATAATGGGTAAATGTGAACGTTGAAGTGGCATATTGCTGTGATAGAGGAGGCTCATACTAAAAGTTCCCAGATATGAAATGTATAACGGATCCCAGCTTCTCTTGTATCTTCCATTGCAGTTTGGCGAGCCGGCGGTGCAGAGCTTTAATTTAGCGGTTAATGCTCTGCGCTTCCAAGCCTATGGCCTGGACAATCGCCAAGTTGGATGTTATCTATTTATTTATTTATTTCCCCACCGCAATGTCAGGCATGGCGTACTCAGGTTTGCGGTTCGACCACCCTGATTTTGATGCAAATGAAGGACTGGGAAAGGTCTACTTCCATCGCACAAAGGCCATACTACGCCATATTCTACCGGCGCAAAGGCTTGCAAAATACACGAAGAAAGAAAATTCCATCCATGCGCATAGTTAGACTGCGCATTGAGCTGGACTTTGGGCCAGACCGTAAATAGGGCCCTTTGTTTTATTGTGTGCAGATAAGACAGTCAGATTGCTTGGATATGTTGTCAATATATCAGTGTAACCTGGAGGGATGTTCTGATGAAAACTGCCGTTTCAGCTTTGATGACAAATTCAGTATTCTAAATTGAATTTGTGGATGTGGAAGATTGATTGCAAGAGACCGGGCAGAAAACTGGTTGATCATTGCGTGATCGAATGCTTCACACGTTTGTCTTTCTAAGAAAAAGTCAAGATTCGCCTGGGGGGAAAAAAAAAGACTAATGAAGAAACATGCTTGACATGTTATGACAACTTGGTCAACCATTTTGAATGTGAAGACGAACACGATGAACGAATGTCAAAATGTTGTGGGGGTGTGAGACAATTCAACAGAGACAAATTGCGATCAGCATGGCCTATGCAATTAATAGTGTCCGAAACAGCGAGGAATTGTACATCATTGTAAGCGCTGGCAACTTGTTCAATGAATGACAAACTGCTTTTTTGATGTACACAAGTGACACAATGATCTGAAAATGAACAAGTCGTTTTGAGAAATTCAATTCTGATCTGAGAAAATGCACCAAACAACTGAGAAAAATTGTAATACAAGTGAAGAACCATGTTTTGTTTTCTTTAAATCAAGCCTCTAAAAACACATGAAGTAATATTTTTAAACGTCGTTTAAAATGAGTTTGAAGGACTGCCATTGCTAGCCATGGCATCCGAGAGGCAGAGGCTGAGAGTCGCACGGCATTTGTTTGCAGAATAAACTAGTTGCTTGAATCCACAGAAGTAACCTTTATTGTTTCTTTCTTAATATATTCTGCGCAGAAACTCTGCTGTACCGAGAGAAAAAAAATGATCAAAATACGAACACATCCAACTTTTTACAGACCTACCCCAAATGGGTCCACGATCCACTTCTGGGTTCCGATCCACCAGTTGAGAACCACTGGTTTGGACAACTTTCTGCCACCAAGTTGTTGGAGCGAAAATACACCGGGCACAATGTAAAAGGACACACCTCAGCTACTCAGGAACAAACTTGACGCCGAACGTTCAGCCAAATTCCCAAACGGGCACAGCAAGGTTAATGCCTGCATTGAAATTCAGGACACACCAGCCTTTCCTCACGCAACGTCGATGAAACTGTGAAAATAGAGCCCATAGTGTTGACACATACAAGATGGATAGATAGATGGATAGAATGATAGAAAACAAGGTAACAAGTGTTGTGAGCCGACATACCCTGGAAAGTCATCACCACCAGGCCAGTGGCCCTCCAGGGAAAAGGAAGGAAGAGCCAAAGAAGAGGCGGAGAGAGAAAGAGCATGTGGAGAGGTAAAGAAGAGGACAGCAAAAGGGACACAGGCAGATGTCCAAGAAGCTATACCTGCAGATTCAATTCCACCTCATCCATCCCTGCTTCCCCCTCCCCCATCCCCCTCTTTTTTCACATTCCTCTGTGCTCGACTTATCCGTCTCATCCCGTATCCTTCCGTCTCCCTCAGCTCTGATCTTGCTTCCCCCAAAGAGCAGAAAAGGGAACACGGGAGGAAAGATGAGTGAGATGGGTTCAGGCGAGGTGGGGGGAGGGGGTCATTTGAGCTAAAGTACAAGGAGAGGAATCTGAAAATAAAAGTCAAATTTAGAGGGGAAGCAATTGCAGCTGGTAAAAAGGCCAAACTATTGACTTTTGTCTTTTTAAATGAAAAAGGATTGCTGGTTTTCAGAATCATGTTAATATCTCCACTTGTCTGAACAACAAGAGGCAAGTGACGAATGGAACTGGAAATATGACAAACCAAAATGTAAATTCAATTTACTCCCAGCTACAAAACAATTTATTGACCATCTAGTAATTTTCCACCATGACACAAAAAATATATATATTTCTATATACATTCTCAGAAAACAACAAGAGTTCCAGCATGTAACCACCACATAATGCCATAAACTTGTAACAAAAGGCAACATTTTGTGCAAGCAACTCTTAGTTTTCAAGAACTTGATATGCCTGTTAAATAACATGGTTTCATATAGAATGTTGTGTCACATAAATATACATTTATATTACAGTTTACACAGCTTTTGATGAATACAAATTGGTCTTTCAAAGATTCGTGTTTTTTTTTTTTTTTTGTGTGTGATCATGTGCCAAAGGGCTCTTTACACTCAGCGAGTACAGTCATCAAGTCCCACAATGAAAGGGACTTCACTGCTTTTATATGCACGTCAAAGAGAGTCTTGAAATGCGACACTCAAAAAGTTCCTTAAGAGCACTGACGGCAAAGTTAGACAGGCACGTTTTGGTAAAATTTGCGTCGAGCGTCTGATGACAAATGCTGGAGTACTTGAAGTAAATGCTCCGAAAAGTATCACGTGTGATGAGTCCTCAAGTTACTGTATTTCAAAAACAATCAATCACTGAGAGCGTCGGCCTTTTCTCCATTCGGTTGTTAACTTCGGATGGCCGTCTTCCTGTCTCTGTCTTTGTTCTGCAAGAGAAAACAACTTTCAGAACATTTTGCACCCAAATGCTGTTATGCTATACCTTTCTCACTCCTGATTATTTTTTTGTTGTTGTTAATATGTTTAAAATTTAACATTTCTAGCATTTTTAAAATGAAGGATTCATTTGATTTTCTGCAACACACTCATACACAATTGAATTCAGGGTCAAAAGAAGAAAATATTGAAAAATACAAAGTACAAGGAACATTATAAATGTGATTAAGAAATAAAAAAGTACTCCTAAATATTTCGATATCTTATGATTTAAAAGAAGACATGTTACAATGGAATAAGAATATGCTCAAACCATATGAAAAACGGATATATTCAGTATATATCGAGATTCACTGTCAATTTAACTTAATTTAGCAAGAATTATTTATGGCTGAGAAACACAGGTCAAGCAACGTGCAGAAGGAAATATGTTAATCATATTTTCAGTGTTACAACAGGTGACTCATTTGCTTACATCCATATAAGAGCCCCTGTAGGTCATGTCGGTGGCCGGCTAAAAGGCCTTTCAGGTTGGGCCCACCTCCACATATAACATACACAGCGCACAACAAATTGATAAATAATTAGTTTTAAAATCTTAAGTCAAGAATACTGACCGTTATTGTGGATTGCATATGACAGTTTGACATTTTGGTTCAGACTTTAGCAAGCATCATGGAACTTGACATGCTTGATTTGCTTTTGTGGGCCATATAAAATGATGTGGCGGGCCAGATCTGGCCCCCGGGCCTTGACTTTGACACCTGTGCATGAGAGCAACTTTTAATATTCACAAACAAACCCACACTATACACCGCTGGTTTGTTGTTATGAAATAGTGGGGGGAGAAAAAGAATTCGTGTTTGGTATAGCAGTTTAAATTCTAACTTTATCTTCTCTTCGTTTGTTTCTAACCCGTGTGAGACGTATGTTTTTTCGCTACGCAAATGTTGCAGCTCTGCGCCAAATCCTGCAAACTCCTTCGGTGAAAGTGCTGTCAAGTTTATGTGATATGATTGGAAATTTCCCTCACACTGACTGTACAGTTGGAGTTTTTATGGCAGAATTAACTCTTAAAATGGATAGCAGAGACTGCAGACTTATAATTGAATGTGATTTCTGTCTGACATCATGAGCTGGCATTTGACGGGAGAGTATTTATCTGTGGTATCAGAGCGGCGCTCTCTTGATTTCCTGGCTGGCTGCTGAACTGCTTCTCTATCTAGCCAGGAAAATAACATCACTTTTTCCCTCCCCCTCACTTCTCGGCTACTATGAAACTTTCAAGTAATGCTCGAGGGATTTCAGCAAACGGACTACTGAGTGATATGCAACACATCATCCCCGCTCCGTTTATTGTTTTTCAGGGCTGATGTTTCATAGATTAACTCACGGCTGACAAAAGATATGCAGTCTTTCATAAACAAAATAAATAATAACTAGAGAAAGCTCGTTTAATTAGGCTCTAAATGCACTGAAGTAGTAGTCGACAGATTTTTTTTTTTTTTTTGACTCAATTTTACCTCGTCAAGTGGCTGCACCAATCTGGCTCCAGATACTTTTCTTTCTTTTTTTTAAATGGACTGTATGTCTACTCTAAAAAATGTATTTGGAGCAGGATGATTTTATTTGGCACAACCACTTGATGAAAGGAACCATTTTTTTTTTCCACTGTCACAGGGTTACAACTTTCAGGTGAAGTCACAGATGAAAAAGAACTCATTCTCCTCGGCAGTCGCCCCCTCCGCCTGTCCTCTCCCGACTCCCTCTCGGATAGTTCAACTATCCGTGCGGGCCGAGCCTCCTCGCTTCCCACTCATCAGCCCCAACACCTGTTCCACATTTCCTCCCAGACTGTGCAAAAAGTGTAGGTGTTTGGAGAAAAAAAAAAAAGGAAAAAAATCATCTTGGCCCACATCACCAACGGCGGGTAAATGATAGATATCAGGCCCAGAATGAGGGGGTGAGATTATTGGATTAGGGCAGAAATTTTTCCTCCCACTCACAAAGGTGAGTTGAAAGAAACAATCCTTCATTCAGGCATTATGAGACTTGCTTTACCCGATAGCTGCTTTGTCCTCATACACAAATTGTAGCAAGAGAACGTACTGAGTTCCACCTTTGGGACGACAAAAATCATCACCACAGGGAGCTGCTACTTGGCCGTTTGCGTACACTGATCAAAAGCAAAGACAGCGTCATAAATGGAGGCCTGACATTGAAAGACTGTGGTTGTGGGTTAACAATTAAATATTTGCCCTGTGAACCATGAGAGGATTTAATAATCCTTCCGTGCTTATTATACATATTACATACGGTAAATACAAATCCGTATTTGTATTTCGTTGCCCTAATAAGTGGTCTTCACTGATTGCCTCAGAGAAATTCACCGCGCCATACGGTGGCATGTGGGTCCGTTTAACACCCACTCAAGTTAACAACGAAATGGCTATCCTCGTTCACGTCACCATTGTCCAAAACAACAACATTATGGGCAGACGTCAGACTGAGGGGAAAGTCGGCACGCGGATCATACTACAATGAGTACAATTTTGAATTGACTTCTGACTGCTGTCACTTTGACTCTTGTCCTTTCTGGGTACTGAGCAACAGTGCCACAGCTGCGGGTGGGGGAGGAGGGCAGCCACCTGGGGTGTGACTTGTTCGGTCAAAACAGGGGGACGAGGGTGGAGGGGGACTTTAAGGCTGACCGAGTAGTCAAAACAATCTCTTGAAGACTAATTCCGGCACAGTCGCATGACATCCGTCTCTCTCTCTCACCAAACACACACACACACACACACACACACACACACACACACACACACACACACACACACACACACACACACACACACACACACACACACACGAGCTTCCCATTGGAGCCATTTGTCCGACGCTAATATGATTACCTGATGACGTTTACTTTAGATACGACCAGTTTAACACATTGAGCCAGTATTATTGTTTTATCAAGGTGAAAGAACCTTAATGTGAAGACAGTAAACACGTACTTATCAAAGGCATAATTGAACCCTAATATTGTTTTTTCTGTGAAACTCAACCCAGGTCCTCCTTTTTTTTCTGTGGATTTTCCATGAGCTCGGTGTGTTTCCCTGGGTTAATCCATCCTGTCAAATGCAAACATCTAATTTAACTCCTGGCAGCAAGAAGAGAGGAATAACGGGTTGGAAAATATAATTTCATTGGGCCCTGGCTCTGTAAATTCTATATGGAGAATGGTATTCAAGCATGAAATAAAAACTGCTCATATTCCTTCAATTGGGGGAGTGAGCTTTAGGACAGTGTATATAAATTAGTACTCGGAGTATGTTGTAATTGGCTCCATAAAGGTTCATCCTTTTGACAGCAGATTAGATTAAAGGCTCACATTTAAACAGTGCAGTAAAGGAGACGTCGTAAGTGAAGTAACACACTAACTAAGCCTCAGTCTGCCATTATGTGGTTTTGATACATTAGACATGCATTTCACACTCACTGTGGTTTGCAAATAAGCATCCTCATGGCTTCGGAAAAACACCGGCTTTGCGTTTGGGCGCTTAATCCACCGCATGTACAACCCCGCAACTTAATATGATGTTAGAATTATTCACAAATTAAGATGGGCACGGTGATTCATAATTCAGTGATGTTTAGAAAAATGCACCGTGTGTGTGTGTCTCTCTCTCTCTCTCTCTCTCTCTCTCTCTCTCTCTCTCTCTCTCTCTCTCTCTCTCTCTCTCTCTCTCTCTCCTATATATATAGGCGGGGCTGGATAAAAAACATTTTAAGTCATTACAGGCTTTGCAAATGTGTATATAATTCATCTTAATAGCATTTTAATCATAAAACGTTATTTGTCCTAAAAATCTAATTTTGTTATTCTAAATGGAATTTATTGAACGAGTGAATACATTTTAAAAAATGACCAAATAAATAAATAATAGACGCAGATGTGAATATTATTAATTCTGGAAAAAATGCATTTCATTGCTAGTCAATACAAAGCAGTAGCAAAACAAATGAACAGAACCAAAGTTAAAGTGCTATTTGAACTTTTTTTTTTTTCGCCCAGATCAATATTGCCTTCAGATGAATTCTTCATGAAAAAGGACCTGATGTCACTATCTGCAGCACATCATCTAACCTTTTATCTTGTACCACTAATAGTGGTCTACTGCCCAGAGAAATCCATTTTGTGGATTTGCAAGTTTGATATAGTTTGGTTTGCTTCAGACTCACACTAGGGACTGTAAGCGTTAAGAGCTCCAGGGTGACTTCTGTGCTTGCTGCGACATGCATTCATTTACTGACATGCGACCGGCCACGGTTCTGAATCCACCATATTCCTATGCCCCATGAGCCTTTGCCTGAATGATCTGCGCGAATTCTGGTATCAACCGAAAGGAGCGTTTTGTTTACATGATGTTTGAGCGAGTCCACTGTCCATCACAGGTACAGACTTAAACACTGTGAGAAGGCCACTTGCTGCAGCTTAGAAGAGAAAACACTTCATTCCCACTTCCTACTCATATAACGGGCTCGGAGCATTTTGCGTTTTGTTGATAGTTGATGTCATAAAACTGCAGTCAATATTCTGTTTCGTGATCATCACAACTAATGTCAACCCGCTGCGAATATGAGAACAATCAGCCCTAATATTTAGAACTTTATGAGCACGTCGTCTTCCTCTCCAATAGGCGCTCACTACTGACAAAAATGCTTACCTTACCTAAAATCTAAAATATTGCGGCGATCCTTCTAATACATTCAGAGGTTGACTAATGCGAAAGTCTTCTGTCTCCTACATGCATAAAAAACATACTTGATGTTCTTGTGACACTTGGCACCCAAAGAATCTTCTCCGGTGGTTTTTCGCAATTCTATGTATGTATCTAGCTAGATAGATAGCTAGCTAGATAATATAGCCAGCTATCCATCCTTTTTTTTTTTTTTTTTTTTTAAAGCTGCAGTAGTTTTGTTTGGA